TAAAAGCAGACTTTATTTTTTTCGTTTGGTGCTTTATGCAAGCAGACTATAATTTATAAACAAAGCCGCAAGGGTGATTGTAATTGCTCCAATTGGACAGAAATGACAGGGGTGGGATAGAGCACAGAGCCGGAAATAAAGATGGTGCTGCTGTTAATACAACTTCAGTACCATTTAGAAWTTCAAGAGCAGCTCATTCAGAGGCAKTTTYGCAATGATACACTTGTAATTTTGGGACGGCGTTAGCAAATGCATGCTACAACACAAAGGAGATRAGGTTCTCTGYGTGGCCTGACCCATATCRGCTCATTGTTTGCAGCGCAGTGTTAGCATTAGCAACACTTAAGGGCTAATAGTTACCATGATGCTTAGCACCAGTGGCTAGTGAAGTCCAAAAAGGCGCATGTTTCCTGTAGTTGGTTCAGTTTGAGGCCGGTCTGTATTCACACCAGAAGCAAACCGCACCAGTTTGTTTGGAAGTGGACCAAGACCACCACAAAAATGTGTCTCGGTCTAGTTGTTTGATCTGTACCAGGATTTGCAYGAGTGTATTCACACCTGCATAAAAGGTCCAGACCAACAGGGGAAACAAACTGGTCTGTTTAAAGTGTGTCAGGTGTGAATACGCCCGAAGACAAATTCATTTTGGCAACCAAAAAGTCTATGATGACATTTTTATTTATTTTAAAGTTATATTCTGTTATTAAGACAACAAACAGTTACGGTTTGATTCAAGGACTAGGCCTGTCACAATAAACAATAATTCAATTAATCGTATGATAAATTAAATTGAGGAAGATAATTTAAAATGAGGACAATAATTTTCATTTGCCTGCTTTTTTTCAAAAATTCGTTATCGTGACAAACCTAACAAGGACAAAAACGCTGATGTTAAATATAAAAAAACATTTTTGGTTATAAAATGTCTAAATTGTGAACTTAAAATCGATAATCAAATCGGTACTTGAGTGAATCGTTTGATTTCACACTATTCGCATTTGAAACCGGAATATTTTTGTTCAAGGACCAATAATAAAAAGGTCAACTGTGACCCATTTGGAGTATCATAAAAATGCATTTAAATCAAATAAAATGTATGACAGAAAAAATTAGAGGTTTCAGTTTTTAACAGCAGGATGTGCCTTGAAACTGACTCGTGTCTTTGTTGCACAATAAATAAATGAGTTTTTCTCTCATACCACAYGGAACAAAACAGGGCAACTGGAAAAGTTCCTGTAAACCTGGTAAGCCTTCGGAAGGCCGTGTAAGCACTGGAGTAACTTCTATAAAGTAAAGACTTTGTCCAGTTCTCACTTCCTGGCAGGAGGCCCACCTCCCGAGCTATAAGAAAATAAGCACAGCTCAGGTGTGTGAGGCCAGCATGATGGATCATCCTGCTGTGAAACTGGCCCTCTGCAGAGGCCTGCGAAGACAGCTGGGAGATAAGGAGAGCCCTATATGAGAGCACATCTCCTCTTCCCATCGATCCTCACTGCCACCAAGGCAGGAGGTCTTCACATGCCAAGCCACAGATAGAGGTATAGAGACGGAGCGGGGCAACAGAGAGAACAGGTTTGCAGGTTTAGTAGCCACCTTTGAGCGATAGAGACACTGAAAGGTAAAGCCCCTCTTAGCCTCATACAGATAAAAGACAAACGATGTAAAGCTTTGTTTTAGAAAGGAGAGAAAAAAAAGCTTGTTGCAGATAGCAGTAATCACTCCCTGGCTCCAATTATCCTTTTTTACCATGGCCAAAAAAAAAATACTTCACAGGAAAGCACAGAAGAAATTAAAAAATAAACTTGCAACTTGAATTATTGTGGTCATTATTCACACTAGAAATGTGAGTCTTAACATTTTAGAGTTAATTGACCTTGTATCTGGTGCTAGTAACTTGGCAGGAATGGCATCACTGGAAGTCAATTAGGAATGAAAAGAGGCTTTGCTCTTAAAAAACCCTCGTGCTACAATTAGAATTCCTCTAGAGTTAATAAGCACAGCTGAGGGTCACAATCAAGTGAAATGTTTTCTTGCAAAGTATGATATTAATTGACACAAAAGATCTCACGTTCCAATGTTGACAGCCACAAATTCTACTTCATTTTTGCCGCTGCTGTTTTGAAACAGAGCAATCAGCAGTGGTCTAACACCTATTATTAGTTGGAGAWGAAACTGGATCAATCAACAAGACTGAGATCTAAAGAACTGTAAAAAGGTGATTTGCCACAATGTAGCAATAATGAGAAAACAATAGAAAAGAAAATAGCTTCATTTGTTTCTCTCTTTGTGCCAAATCAATATTGAGGGTCGCCTGCTGCAGAGGTGACACCAATCAGCAGGACGGCGTAGCCCGCTTTACAGAGCTCGGCTTGGTAATGGAGATGTATGTTTGTGACCTCTGCTCTCAATCACAGAAATTCCTAAAATGGTTTGTATGCCGAGGGTCTATTTTTGTGACTGAAAATTGGGATCCCACACTGCAAGCTGGCAGCCTTAACCACATGTATCAGACAAGATAAGGGCCACTCCAAGGTGCATGATTAGATGTGAACAGCTTTGTGCGCGCACTAATGGACAACACGTGAACAGAGCACTAAAGTGAGCTGAGGGTTTGATGTTTTCAAGCCCAGACTTTGTCTCTAATAATTCATATTCACCAGGCGGTAAATCTTTATGGATATATATAAAACAACTAAATTATACATTAGCATTAGTTTGACCACTTTCTACAACTTTTTAACAGAAGAATGTTGCCAAATAGAGGACAAATTGATGWATTTGTAAAAACTGCAGTGTCTGATCTGAACCATTACTTTACAGTTCAATTATTTCTTGCACAGAATTGTGTTCAATAAATATGTTCAGTGAATTCATTATGAAGTTTTAAGAAACAAAAGCTGCAAAATAAAGTTTTGACCACGGTCATAATGTAGGTCGATTGTGACTCAAGTTTTCACGTGGCTTTCGGTGGATTCAGCGGGTGTTTTGTTTACATTAGGCATTTTTGAACTGAGGCTCGGCCTGCTCCAGTCGGCCGGGCCATAACCAGCCCTGGTGTTTTTGCACTGAGCAAAGTTCCGGCTTGATCATATTAAACATGCACAAATCTTATTTTGTTTTATTAACAATAACAGRCCATATCAAACTCAAAGGAAATGTACAAAACACTTTTTCGGACCATACAGCYCYATGATGCTTAARATGAGAGAGCAAGATGACAGGATAACATTTTCAGAGAGAGACGRTGTTAGCTTGTTGTTTGATTGATCRCAACTGTTTTAGTGGAGTTAAACACTTGTGAAACAGGTTACAGTCACTGCAAACAATTCATGTAAAGTTACTCACATCTGTGTGACGTAACGCCCCAATCAGTGAACCAATCAATAGGTCTTTTTGCACTGCAAGGCCCAGCCAGGGTCAGTCTAAGTTCAGCGAGTTTGCGTTAACTTCGATTTGACGTCAGCTTCTCATTAATTGGTTCACTGATCGGGGGTTACGTCACACAGATGAGAGAAAGTTTACATGAACTGTGTGCAACAACTGTAATGTTTTTTCACAGTTTAACTAAACAACAACAAGTTAACATTAGCTACCAGTAGCTCGTCTTAAGTGTTGTACTGCTGGATGGGCTGATACAAACTTTGGTACTTTTCAGTGGAGTTTGTTGTGGTTCCTTACTATTGTGTTGCTAATAAAACAAAATAAAAATTAGGTGTTTAATATTATGATCCCACCTACATCGAAGTGACTCTCTGCTCAATGCAAACAGAACCAGGGYCATGGTAGAAAAAGATGTGGGTGTGTTGGCAGGCCGAGTCATGCCTTAAAATGAATTTTTTTTTATTTTATAAAGTTTATTCATTTAAAACAAACAACATAAATTCAACGTACAACAACAAAAAAAACAAATTAAATGAAAGGTAGCAGAAGAAGAAAAGAGTTGTAATTTCTGCCCCTTTTTCTTAAATAAATTCAATCAAAAAAATCTTCAAATTACAACGTACAAAAAAAGAAAGGAAAAAAACAATAAAGGTTTAATTCCTACTTGAGTAACAATTCATGCCTTATACTCATACATATTTCTCCAACAGATTCACCTTTATCATTTTCTTAAATATACACATTGATCTGGCTTTTTTAACATTATCATCCTCCAGATTATTCTATAATTTAATTCTCTGAACTGAGATACTCCGTTCCTTCAAACTGGTTCTACTTTTAGGTTTGACAAACATTTCAGTCTAACCTAATGAGCAGAAGTAGCTGATGTCGAATCAGCCCAGATAGAACAACAGGTCTCTGGGATCCAGAAATCGGGGTGGAACTGGGCCTTAGGGGTTATGCAAACACAATAAACCCGGGTTTGATACCAGGGCCGGGATATTTAATCATTTAGACGAGTTGGATGTTATGTTAGAAAAATGCATGACTTTTTTGATGTTGAGCTCACACTGTATACAGTATTTAAAGTGACAGCTATCACAGATAAATAAACAGATACGGTTTAAGCAGGGGCCGTATATCAACATTATACTATTTCCAAGTCTGATTAAGAAGCCCCTGTAGGGGTATAAATTACCCTTCCATGTTTAACCTAGAACATTATGCCTAAAGCTTATCTTACAAGAGGGAAGAAATATTATTTCCATCATGTCACTGGAGAAGTCAACTTTCCGAGAGGAGGAACGGCAAGATTGGGCCGAAGCTACTGRAGTTACCTCCCCCTTTTTCTCACACCCCAGTTGGCTGCTTCGTGTTTTCTCCACTGCTTTGAAGATAATGCTCTTCGGCAGGTCGCTAAAGTAATGACCACCTCTCAGTTTGGCCCAAGTTGTTCTGGAAAATGCTGTGATGTTTTGGTCTTACATTTAAAAAAAMCTGACATATAAGTCTGTGATGTGCTGTAGTTGTGCCAGATCTGATTTAATTACTCAGATTCCAAAAGAAACAACTGCAGTGCATACAAATTCAATGACATATTGGTCAAATTAATCACTCACCTCCTCCTCCTCCCAGAAGACTGGTGTTTGCTGAAAYGAGAAAAAGAAAGTGTTAGGTCGGTTTAAAAAGATGTGTTTATATAGATTATTAAAAGTCTCAGAAGTCCATTTTAGTTAAAGCSTCATAAAAACCAGAAAATTGTTTAAAACAACAAACAATTCTCTGTAAATTACTTGACCTAACAGCAATTTGAGATTCTCACAACACTCAGAAGAAAATTAAAAGAAACAGAGTTGCTTTAAAAGGATTAAGAAAGTCCTGAATCTGTCTGGAAAGATGTGTAATAATGTTACACTCCCAGTCAAACCTGTAATTACACATTTCAGTAGCTGTGTTTGGCAAAACAAGTGTTAGMTATTGATGTTTGCTGCCTTCCAACAACACCAGTCATCCCAACGTGAATATCAGCCAATAGTTTAACACATCTCCAGCAGACAAAAGTATGTACTGTTAAGGGTGTTTTATCTTAATTTACTAAATTAACACATTAGCAGCAAATGATTCATTCATCTGAAAGGTAAAGTGAAAGCGTTTGTTGGTGGGTTAAAAAACACCAAATGCTTCAATAAACTAGTGTTAAAACCAGACTTAAAGCCAGACAAAAACATGACTTCCTTTCAGGAATACCTTTAATGCAAGAACTTTGAATATTTTAGGGAAACATGTTGAGTGCCTCAAAGCTCTAAAAGTGAAACTCGGTTCTTTTATCCACCAGACTGCAGTTCTATAAAATATCTGAAAGTGATGCAAACTCTTCAACGTGTCTCAAACATTTGTAGTGCGACCTRTGCAATCCTTTACTGGTTCAGCTGCAGGTAACTTGTCAGATTAGCACATTGAATTAACCTATTTTCATTTTCCTGTCAGTTAGGGATGTTAAAAAAAAGGATTAAAGAGGGTTAAAAGTATGTCAGTTAATTTGTATTCGACTCAAACTAAAAAGCAGTGGTGTTTGAAGTGTGGTTCGGCAGGCGCTGAACGGATCGCACACCGCAACGCGCGTTTAATGATCGGTTTGAGCTGCAGCATCAGCTCCCATTAAAAGCCTATTATTTCTTAAAAACGTTTTTAGCGCTGCCAGTGGATAACGAACATGAGTTATTAGCAAGAGCAATCCAATCACATTAAAGATTCATGGCTTTTTATTTATTTATCCACGGCCTGATCGCATGAAGGAAGTGATTGCTGCAGTTCGCTCGGCTTTCACATGTTTCAGCGGAACCATTATGGCTCCACAATGCTCTCATCGGAGACCCACAAATATGAGTGGGCCTGACAAAGGAAAGTCTCCTGCAGCAGATTTGGACTCACCAAAGAGCTTTTGTTATGCATTTGTGTGGTCTTTGTGCGCTCGTACATCACGAGCACAACACACACACATAAAACCGRCAACCTGAGCAGGGATGTAGTGACAAGCCACTGTCATGTTTACAATAGCACCTCTCCAGGTTTTTCTGTGATAAAAAGAAGACACTTGTGTTCTCGGGGGCCTTTGTTTAGCTCTGGAATCTCTGAGCTATCAACAAAAAAGCACAGAACTCAAATTTGTGCTAGTTCTTCAACAGCACTGGAAACCCAGGTTCATGGATTTTCTGTTCTCATCTCTCAGGATCAATTAAAACAGAAAATCTGATTTTATTTAAAATGCATCAAAACGAATCTTTAAAAGGGGAAATATTATGTGTTTCTCAAGCATATATTTAAATACTAYACCATAATAAAGTATCTATGTCACCTTTAGTTGTTATTAAAATGCTGTTTTTATGTCTAAATAGAAAATAAATTTATCTTCTCATCACTTCCTCTTCTAAACGCCTTGAAATTGGCCTTTGTCTCTTTAAGAACCACCTTCCACTTTGCCCATTTTGGTGCCGGTGGGGGGGGCTGCCATGATGCAGTTTACTTGGCATCTGAAAATACATTTCCTCAAAGGTATTTTTAATCTGAAAAGACCTTCACTGAGTGAGAACTAATGTTGAGAGCTCAGCAGACAGTTTAAGTTTCACTTTCACTTTCACCCCAGAGCCTGCAGGAGTCATGGGCCGGGTGTGTGGGGAGGGAGGTCGCTCTGCCATGAGGAAGTTCCGCTTAAAGACACGTCCCAGGGGCGTTTCTGGTCCCCACCTGTCGTTTTGCTCCTCAGCATGGCTTCATAAAAACACTGCAGGATTTCTCAAACGTGCATGAATGAGTCAAAGCAAGGCTTTGGRCATGTTTTTTATGAGAGTATAACATAATAACATGATATAAAACTCAAAAAAGTTGATTTTACATGATATTGCCCCTTTAATTCAAGGCTGAAGTGTCCTTTGAAAGAAYGCACGTCGCCTGCTGCCTTTATTGATGCAGATTTAAACTAAAATCATTTTATRGTAAGCAGGGTTGGTGTTTTAGGCATTTAGACAAACCYAGGAGACAATTTATTGCAATTTTATGAGATCTTGCAAGATGTGTTCATGCTMACAGCACATGTGCATGACTCAACTAATATAATACTAAATTGTAGCTCAGCATGTGTAAAACTGATTGTGTCAGGTATAATCGTTGAATTTCCTAGGTRAGTTGACTCTGGTGGTCATCTTAAACAGGGTGAAAAACCAATACCTTTTTGAGAGTTTCACTAAAGGAGACATGTCGTACTTTATGTCCTTCTTTTTCATTCAGTTGGGGTCTATATAAAGTGGAACTGCAATGCTTCAGTCTGAATTCCTCCTTATTGTAACTCCACAAGCCCCCTCTGTTTCAGATCAACTTGTTTTGAGGCCGTCTCTTGAAATGTACTGTAATTCTGTGGCGTGATCGTTGTCAGAGAAAAGAGAAAACTGAACGGGTTGAAAAATATGACCCAAACAGAAAATAAAGTAGGGGTGGGAAATTTTTTTACTATCTCATGATTCGATTCTTATTTTTGGGGMCACGGTTCGATTCCAAATCAATTTTTCATTCGAAAAATGATGATGTGAGCCTGCGCATGCGTCACACTCCCAAAGTGCTTCATCTTCATTTTGCAAACCTTGCACACAGTGAAGCTCGTGTCAAACTTGGACAGGGCCGGTTGAATCTCTCTTTCCTTCATTTAATGTTGTTTCCTCTTTGTTTTAGTGCTTTTCTGCGCACGCATCCATTCCAGAACCAGCTGTGTAACGACATCAGGAGGTTACACATAGTTACGAAATAGAGGCTGACAGCCATTAGATTTGCTTTATTCTTAAAAAATTTTTAATCGATTCTAATGTGAATCTTTTTTTTTTTTTTTTGGTGCACGATTCCACAAGGCCCCTAATATAAAGGTATCTACGCAGCACCTGGAGAAAACAATTTCAAATTTTCTGCACTGCTAGAGACTCCAAGTTCATAACAAAATGTATTTAACAGCTAAAAAGGTGAATTATCATACGTTTATTTTAAAATGTGTCCACTAGACAGAATAAAAGAAAAAAAGACAGACAAACAAACACACACATGCACAAACATCATTACTCTTTCATCTTTGGTGGCAGGCGACAAAACKATCATGTTTCGAAATGTAAAATTATTAAAAGTCGCCTGTTTACATTGTTAGGGATACAGCAGCTGAAAACCCAACATAAAAACATGAAAATGCAACAAGAGCTGCTGACGATCTCATTTTATTTTTCTCTTGGACTACTAAACATGCCAGAAGGAAGAAGATAACAACCTACAACATCTTTCATGTAAATTGTTCATTTTAAACGAAATAAAAAAGAACAACTCCTGGTTATTTTACACGACTCTGTACCAATTTTAAATGTGAACATAATGTTGCATTTCTGCCAATAGARTTATTATTAGGGTAATTGAATAGTTTCAAAATGAGCTCAGAGCCGGCTAACAGTCTACTATTTTTCAGCATAGTCTACCATCATTGTCTCGTCTCCTGGGGAGTCTTCCTATTCCTGAGCTATTAAAACACTAGGGTTTAATTACCTGACATTATGGAAATGCATGCCTGAGGGGGGCACTTCATTTACTCCACACCTAATCAGGGTTCTGAGACATGGTTGCTAATCAGACACAACTCTTTTGCATATATATATGTATGCAGGGCAGGGCGGTGATGGAAGGAACCAGGGTGGGCTTGGGGATGTGACTTGGTGTGTTCATGGCAACAACCTACAGGGTGATGAGAAGTCTTCTCATCTTTGTGGGTTTGATAAATGTGGAAAAAAGGAAAATGCAAAAAATATATATACTGTATATACACATATATGTTTATATATATATACACACACACACACACACATATACATATGTGTATATATATACATATGGCTTTATGCCTTTTATGCTGTATCTTCCACTTTAAGGATCAAAACACTATAAAACAAGTATTAGCATTTAATCATACACACACACATATACATATGTGTATATATATACATATGGCTTTATGCCTTTTATGCTGTATCTTCCACTTTAAGGATCAAAACACTATAAAACAAGTATTAGCATTTAATCATATAAAACAAAACACAGCTCGAATACAAACTGTGTAACCAAGACTGAGCTCAGCCATATAAATTCTGCACAAGACAGACAAAAACAATAAAAAATTTAAAAAGGAATGCAGATTTGTTCGTATTAAAGTAGGACAAATAAGAACTCTCGAATGTTATCCYAGTTAAAATCAAAACAAATCCATATTTGGCCACATTTATTGTATTATCTATATATTTAAGAGTGTGTTTTAATTATAAGTAAGCTCTCGCTGCTTGTTCTGCTTGCCTTGAGCTCAGTCTGGATATTGTGTGCAGGATCCACACATTAATGCCTTTAGGGAAGCAGTGGGAAAGCAAACAATTAACATCATCACAAGACCATTATCTGTTTCTCCTACAGTGGCTGACTGTCCACATGTGGAGATGTCTCTTTGAATACATGTTTAATGGGTGTTTACCATTTTCTCTTCAGAGTCTGACCCTAGGGGAATTTTACTAGACCCTCGTTTTTTCACAACAGAAAAGACCAAATCAACAATTTAAAGAATCTTCTTGCGTAAAAGAAAATA